AAGAATTAACAACAGAGATTTAGTGGATGTTATCTAATAGTCTAATGTCAATCGGTGTGAGGGTGAAAACTAAGCCATACATTGATGTGATGTCTAATCTGAGGTAAAGGTAAGGGTTAGTAAAGCATACACTCGTAGCCGGACCAAGGTGTAGTGAAATTCCCTATTTGGAGGACCAATCACTTAGGGATACCTATCTTACCAACTTTGCATGTTAAATACTAGGAAAGGATTACTATTATTATGATTATTGCGTTAAAAGCTTATGGGGAACCCATACACCCTAGTTTCTCTCTCATATTGATAACTTAAAGTTTGAATCCTGCTCATTTGTTACTTAATCAAAAATTTGTTACTTGCTTACAAAACCTCTCTCCCCCCCCCCCTTTTATTACTTGTCTCCAAAATAGTTTGCCTAAACCGATATAATAGTGAGTTAAGTTTAAGTCTGAACCATATTCCTCGTGGGATCGACCCCAACCTACAAGTTGGCTTCTTTATTTGACAACGATCGCTTATACTTCTTTAGGGAGGTATAATTTGAGTGTATCACCCAGGGTGTAGGCTCAGGGCGTGACATAAACAACTAGAAAGCCTAGAATTTTTTGATACTTTTTCTCCGGTAATTAGAATTAGATCCACCAGACTTATTATCGCTTTCCCTACAATTTTTTATTTGCAAATTCATCAAATGAATGTAAAAATTGTTGTTTTAAATTGAGACCTAAGTGAGCAAATATAAACGGATCAACCCAAGTAATTTGTTAAAGCTAGCTAAGAAAGGAAAGTGTGTAAACTTACTAAATCCCTATATGATTTAAAACTTACCAAAGCAATGACATTAAAAGTTTGATTCCTGGATAATAAAAGCTGACTTTTAAACAAATGAATGTGATAAGTGCATTTATCATAAGTCATTGAATAATTCACATGTTATTATTTATTATATGTTGTTGATTTATAGATCTTTGGCTCTAACATGAATGTTATTGATGAAGCTAAAAATATTCTTAGAAGGAATTTTGATATGAAAGATCTTGGTTAGGCAAATTTTATTCTTGGAATAAAAATAACAAGAACATGTGATGGAATTTTCCTTGACGAGTCACACTATGTTGAGAAAATTTTAAAAAAATATTTTCTTGATTGCAAGAATGTATATTTAAATCCTTTTGATTTAAGTGTTCACTTATTTCCCGTTGAAAGTGAAAATGATATAATGAATCAAAATGAATATGCTAGCATAATCAAAAGTTTGAGATATGTGACTGATTACACTAGGCTTGATATTGCATATGCACTAGGAGTACTTAGGAGTTTTACAAGTAAGTCAGGTAATGAACATTGACATGCTATAACAAGAGTTATGAGATATTTAACTGGGACAAAAAATGTGTTTTGTTCTATAAAGAAATATCATGTTGTACTTGAAGGCTTTTCTTATGCAGATTTAAATACTTTATCATGTGATTCTTGTTCTACCACTGGTTATATCTTTACTTTCAGTGGTGGTGCTATTTGTTGGAGATCAAAAAAGTAAACTATAATTGCTAACTCTACCATGGAGGCAGGACTAATTTTTTTAGCTTCAGCTAGTGAGGAAGCGAATTGGTTGACAGATTTATTATTTCAAATACCTTATTATGAAAAACCATCTCCTATTATTTTAATTCATTGTGATAGAGCTGCTGCAATTGGTAGATTTCAAAATCGTTATTACAATGGTAAGTCCAGAACTTTAAGGAGTAAATACAGTAATGGAAGATCGTATTTGACAAGCGTTACCATTAATGTTGACTATGTCAAATTGTGTGATAATTCTGCAGATCCTCTTACTAAGGCCTGAACGATAGAAAAGGTCAGGAGCGCATCGAGGGGGATGGAATTGAAGCTTATAAATCTTTGAGTCATATATGAGGAAACCCAATCTGGGGACTAGAGATCCTATAACCAGGTTCATTGGAAAAACTAATCATAAGATGACTTGTTGTAAAAATGCACTATTTTTTTTCCCTCCCTATGATGTGAGTGCGTTGTTTCCTGTAGTAACTTGTGAAGGTTGAGTTTACAAAAATCTTAATGAAAAATTGTAGTTTGTAACGGTGGAGTGTTAAACTTACAAGAGCACTCTCGACACATTTCACAAATGTGAATGTGGAAGCAGGTCGCTTCCTATGAGAATTGGGTTTATTCTCAAAAGTACTCATGAAATCGGGATAGCACAACGCCGTAACATGCTGGCTTTTAAAGATCATGGCAACACCTTGATTATTGTGTGTGAGCAGTGATATTTTATTTCCCTTAAGCAGTCATAGTTCAAGTTTGAGACCACTGAGACTCTGAAGTAAACATTACTATTTCACTAAGGGGAGGTTCAATGCAGCACACTCCTTCATTATGCATTGTAGTCTTCCTTTAGTTGATAGACTCTCTTAGTTAATATTTGAATTAGTGGGGGATTGTTAGTGAGGGATTTTTAATATTATATAAGTATGCATCCACATTGACAATTTTGTTTCTGTCCGTTAAAGTTGGCTCTAAGGCATTACTTCCTCTAATCATTGATGGTCACCTCTATTCATTAAGAGACAATGTGGAATTAAGGCTTTAAGTTATCTATGTGGAGGTGGGGTGTGTTTGGCGTGCACATGTGGAGTCCATGTGGCATTTTAGCACACACATGGATGCTTCCGTTAAACAGAAGGGCATATGTAGTCTCATAGTTAGACGGGAGACATTTTGAGTCGAAATATAGTTTAAGGGTATATTTAAGCCATTTCGAATAGGTTAAGGATAGTTTTGACCCTTTTTCGTAGTCAACTATGTGGACATGTGGCATCCATCTATGGAGCTCTTTCCTCTATTAAGTTCCTAAAATTCCTCAATTTTTAAGTTAGAAATCTCCAATTGAAGTCAAGGTTTTCTTCCAAATCATGGGTTCCTTTCAATATTGATATGAATGATTGTTTTATGAACTCTTATGCATTAATTGAGAAAATTCCATGATTTTAAGATGAATCCCCATTATCCCATGATTAACCCTTGTTTTCTGAATTATGATGATTGAAAGTGGGTTTTGAGTTATGAAAGGAGAATTATGGAAATATGCATTTTCTTATGAAATTGATGAAATATGATATAAGTCTCTTTGAGAGTAAATCATAAATGTTGTTGTCGTTGATTGTTGTAAAATGATTTTTCACATAATTACTCAATACATGAATGTGAAAGGTTTTCTCACATTAAGGATTCTATGGTAGAAAGGTCTTCTCACCTAAAATGAATCAAAGTTAAGGAGCTATTCTAATGATGAGGCAAGTGGCGATTGCCCATGTCCTCTAATGAAAAGACAAGAGGCGATTACCCATGTCCCTTAAAGATAAGATGAATATGATTGATGACTATTCCATGGGAATTATTTTTCGTACCGAGTGGACGTGTGGCGATTACTTGTGTACCATAAACTATGTGCCATCATAGGTTGTCTTAAATATACAATAAGCTAGAAGTTCATGGTTCTTACCTTGGCATGTGAGAACACCTCTTTTCGGTGTGGGGTAAACACCGGATTCCATGTTATAGCTCACATGGTCTCTATGTGTGTTAAGGCTAATTTCCCACAACAAGTATAATTATGAACTAATAAGATTACTTCAAGAAGTATTTCACAAGTGTTCAAAGATGGGTTTTACTTGCATTTGACCATGATTATTATGATGTTTTCTAACCTTTTTCTTATGGTTTTAAGTTGGTGTTAGAATGACATAAAAGGTCCTTTTTAGCATGATTTTGTATCTCTATGCATTGCTATCATACTTGATACATATTTTTACACACACACTCTTGCCTACATTGTATCTCAAATGTAGGGTCCGACGTTGTAATTTCTCAACCCCGTGGCTAGAAGTCACTTTGGCTATACTTAGTAGTGGTGAGTCTTTACTCTTTACATGTTCTGAGGACCGAATCTTTTTTTTCCTTTCAGTCTTTACTCTCCACATATTCTATGTGATAAACTTAAAGGATGTGGAACTATGGACTGTTTAGGTCATGTGGCTCTTGTCACCGAGCTTATGAAGAGCCTGGCACAGACAAAGTTGAATATCGAAAGCAAAAAAAAAAGATTTTGTCTTCAGAACATGAGGACTCACCACTACTAAGTATAGCCAAAGTGACTTCTAGCCACAGGGATGAGAAATTGAAACGTCGGATCCTACATTTGAGAAACAATGTAGGAAAGAGTATGTGTTAGTACAAAGATTTACCATGTATGATAGCAATTCATAGAGATAAAATCATGCTAAAAAAGACCTTTCATACCATGCAAAGACCAAACTAAAACCATAAGAAAAAGGTTAGAAAACATCATGATAATCATATGGTCAAATGCAAGTAAAACCCATCTTCGAACGAACTAACCTTAGTTCATCATTATACTTGTTGTTTGAAATTAGCCTTAAATGACATAGAGACCATGTGAGCTATAACATGGAATCTGGTGTCTACCCCACACTGAAAATAAGTGTCCTCACTTGCCAAGGTAAGAACCATGAACGTCTAGCTTAAGTGGATCCGCGAGCAAATGTCTATCTAAGGCAACCTATGATGACACATATGTTATGGGACACAGGTAATCATCACTTGTCCACTCGTTACTAAGCATAATTCCCACAAAATAGTCATCAATCATATTCATCTTATCTTTAAGGGACACAGGCAATTGCCTCTTGTCTTTTACTATGGGGACATGGGTAACCGCCTTTTGTCTTGCAATTAGAATAACTCTTAAAATTTGATTCATAGTTTAGTTGCGAAAACCTTTCAACACTAAGAATCCTTTATGTGAGAAAACCATTTACATTCTAAGAAAAACTAACGTTCCAACACATCTCCAGAACATGTTTCTTTAAAGCACAACTCTTTACTTTCATTCAAAGCCCTAAACATTCAAGTGAAATTTGAACAATGAGTAGAGTACTTTATTTTGCTGACAGCAGTTAAACAAACAAAACAAATTCAACTGTTTTCGGAAAGTCTGGCACAAACTGATAGCAGTCAATTGGCAGCTTAAAATTTTTTATCCAATTAAACAAGTAGATAGCACATAGATTTACTCCTCGGCAGTCACACTTCGATCTCCTTCACAGGAACCAGCCCCTCACTCCCTCCCTCCATCCTGCTCATCTTGGCACTTCAAAGGCTGCACTTCTGCTCATCTTTGCACTCCAAAGGCTGCTTAGAGCAATCAGAACAAAGCAATTCCAAACAAAAAGTCTCCACATATTCAGTGTTATTTATACATCTCCCACATTCACTACACCGTAAGATGCAAAGTGAGCAGGCCCTACATTCTTTAGTAGCTTCATCTTTCACTTGGCAACCCTCTGCAGGACAATCATAGACCAACCTTACTTTTTTACATATCGGGCAAAGTTGAACATCAATAGCCCGACTGTCATCAACCAAACGATAAATATTCCTTCGAGAAAAGAAATGGGGTTTGTAAACATTTTGCCTCGTCTGGCTATCTGCACCTAGAAGAAACTCCAGCTCTTCAAAATGTTCATGCATCACTCCATAAAGACCGCCAATCCACAGGTTCTTTATACCCATTTTACCTCTTTGACAGTTAAAAGACTTCAACATATTTACAATGCCTTCAATACTGAGTCTTGTACATGCAGGAACAAATAACTGCATGAAATAAACATAAGATTAATAAGCACAACATTGTACATTAACGCACACACTACAAGTAGCAAAAGGGACCTTGTACCGAAGAAACTATTAGGGATCGTTTGGTAGAGTGTATTAGAAAATATAATGCAAGCATAAATTCTGTGTATTAGTAATACTTTGTTAGGTACACTTGTTCATGCTATAACTACAATCTATTGTGTATTACCAATACCATGGATTTCTAGGTATTAGTAATGCAAGGGATTTTAATGCATGCATTAGCATGGTTAAAGACTCCATTGCCCCTCAAAATCTTTTACATCTTTTCCACTATAAGAGTGAAGGGTATCTTTGTAAATAAATGTTTGTATGCAATGCATGCTATTTTTAATACACAAAACCAAACAATGCATAAGAAATAATCTATGTATAATTAATGCAAGCATTACTAATACACTCTATTTAGCATTATTCTTATACACTCTACCAAATGACCCCTTAACAGCAAAAGGGTATTGATCCTGCACTAAACAGTCTGTCTAGCAAGAGTACTTAGCACTAGGCACACGAGAACGAAAATGAGGAAATGACAGAACCAAACAGCCTAACATGCAACCTGTCTAACAGACTTATGTTTCAATCCACAATTCAAACTTCTGCAAGTAAAAGCTAAAAACCGTAAAACATGGCTTTAGTCTCCTCGGTTAGGTAATGCAAAGAATACAATGACCATCAGAAGTTCAGACTCTTCTTACAATTTAAAACAAGGGAATGCTGGTGATAGAATCATAGAACTACATCCAGATTGATATCGGAGTCATTAGACAAAATATGTATGAATCATGTTCTAATTCACATAACTTCCATGAATAAGAGTGCATTTAGGAAGTTCAAGTTAGTCCAAAAGATATTCAAGCTGCACTGTGACAGACATCAGTAAGCAATTTATGTCATTCGTTTTTTTTGATAACCGAGAAATCCATCAGTGACCCGCCCCCTTTGGACCAATCAGACCAACATTTCAGTCTCTCACATAATATTCAGGAATAAATGGCTAAAATGCAACATGTATTTACTCCAGAAACAAAGCAGGTTATTAGAATGTTTTTAAGTGCATCATGTTAACATCAACAAGCATACAACAACCATGCCATCATAGTTAGAACCACAAACACCACAAATATATTAAGAAACATAACGTAAAATGAACATAAACAACAAAGTTACCAAGATAAAAAAAAATGAAGATGAACAACTAACCTTTGTCAAATGTGGATTAGAGTCAAGTACCCGCCTCAAACCGTCATCTGTGATGCGGGTGCACTCTAACAAACTCAAGCATTGTAAGTTACCTTGAGCCCTGCTAGTCAATTGCAAGAGGATATCATCGCTGATCTCAGTCAATGGATTTTCAATGTGAATGCTTTTCCATAATAAAGGATCATTTTTTACAGTAAGCCACAAGGACCTGCAAACACTTTCTACCGTCAAAAGATCCTTCACTCCAAGGTAACCAAGAGCAAAAGATAAAGCCTCATGAGGGGCTCCTTCATCTTCACCAGAGCAAGACATCGCCCCAGACCCTGTTTTCATGGTCTGGGAAAGAAAACTGACTGAACCTACATTATTGAAGCCTGCAGTGTCCCCCACATTGCAAGCTGAGCCAAGACCAACATGGGCCAAGGCGTCCCTCATATCTCTCTCCCCAATAAGCCAATTCACTGGATCACCTCTATTCAGTTTGTCATCAGACTGAACGTGATTAATAGGGAATGATTGGAACCTCATAGAATCGTTCCAAATAAAATCAAAACCGGCAAATAAACCATAGTCCTCATTACTTGGACCGGCATGGTTTCTCCTACATCCTCCATAATCAACTTCCAAATCCTCAAGCCAACCCGTAATGGCTGTGATAGTGGTGCTTATATCCATCCCAAATGGATCAGCAGGGAGAAGATCAATGATATCCTCCGATACCGACTCCGAATAATCACACTTGTCTACTCTTTTCCCCCCATAACCATATTCAAACCCGTCATGCGGTTCCCGACAAACACGCCACGACCAAGGAAAATTCTCCACATTATTCTCCGGAACACCCTCGACTAAACACCCATTCACAATTCTCATGGGTGATACCAAATTATCCTCAGATATATGTGCCGGAAATATGGGCCTATGCGAAAAATTTAACGCCATTTATGGTTTAGATCAACTCTAACAACAGCTAAAAAGGAATACTCTAAACACCTAAAAGTAGGATTTCTTTTTCTTCTTTTTGGTTTTTTCTTTTTTCTCTCTTTTTTGGTGACGCGAAGCTTATTAGATTCAACAAGGAAACCCTCAATTTCGGATGGTAAACTAAAAGACAACGCACCTAAAATCTCACTGAGCTTCTTGTAACAAAAAATCTGAATAATACAATAGAATCAATCAGCGAAACAACACCTGACTTCTTTTTTATTTTTCAAAATTTTTACTATACAAATCAAATAATAAGGAATCAATGAATATTTGACAGAATAGGAAAACTTAACAAGCTAGGGTTTTGCAAAAGAATGTGTAAAGAGAATAAATCGAAAAAAGTGATAGACAAAAGAACCTGATTCAGCGTAAAAATACAAACCCTAATTTGCTCAGCGAAGAACACAATCGACAGACAGAAAGGCTGAAATCGTCGATTAGAGCAGATGAAAAATCGGGAAATTGAAATTCCTCCGAAATTAAATCAGATTCAAAAAAAGTAACAAGGATAAAGAAGAAATCTGCCGATCGAGCTCAAAGAGAGCGAAATAGGAAAATACAAAGAAATATAGAGATAGAAAATTTGAGGGTAGCTGTTTCGGGGGTGGGGGTGGGGGTGGGGGTTTGAGGGTAAGGGTAAGGGTAAGTTTTAGGAGAAATTGTGTATTGAAATGAGAGAGTCAAAAATTATACCGACACGTGTCCGGTGACTATCTCTTACTTGTATTACGCTAAAAGTCGTGGCGGGAATGGATTTCCCTCCTTTTCGACTCTATTTTCTCGCTTCAACACCTTTTTACATTTTTCTTCTCCATTCAATTAATATTTTTATTTTTCTATCTCATAATAAATAATAAAAACTTCTTACCAATGCTTTCATTTCATCAATATTTAATTGTTTTACAAAATTATAATAGCATGGTGTTTGATTGGATGTATTAAAAAAAATAATAGCCCCTATATATGTAATCTTTGGTTGAACGTATTTAATAATTTATCTGAATATTATTTTATGTGAAAAATAAATTATTATTTTTTATAATATTGAATATAATTGACTAAATACAAAATATAATATGGAAATCTTTTATAATATTATAAAAGTATTCTTAAAATAGAGATGAATCAGACAATGACTTTGAAGTGGATATTAATGAAAAGAGAATAATTATTGATCTTTCTGAAGAGTATAGGAATTTCAAGACTTCAAGAAGACATTTCAATAGGTCAAACAAGCGAACTAAAAGCACAACTACTGAATAGGTTTATACTGACAAAAAAGAGCCATATATATAGGATATGATAAGAATAAATGTTGGTAGTAAGGATAGCTTATTAAGTAAGCTAAGCGAAGATGAACCTTACTATCCAAGTGATGAAGGTCCTAGCTTTGAATTAGAGTAACAAATAGGTTGAGGTAATGGTAAGGAGGTTGATCAAGTTATGAATAAATCTATTAGAAAGAAGACCAAAAACAAAGTTGTGTTTGATCCAACTTTTAAGAAGATTGTTATTAAACAGATTTGGTGTTTGAAAGTGTATGAGAATTTAGGAAAGCAATAACCAATATGTGTTATCTCTTGTATTCAGGAAACAGAAACAGAAACAGAAATAGAAATAGAAAAGATGAAATAGAAAGACAGAAAACAAACAATCTCAATCCACAGAACTCACTGTGTATCCTTAAGAAATTTCATTCCCTCAAGTACCTAAGGTTATAGATTAATTCCTCCCAAGATAAAACGGATTAACTATTAAAGAAGTAGTGGTACCTCAAACTTAAATAATTTCAGCGAATTCAATAATTAGTAACGAGAGTACACACAGACTCGATCGAACGACAATTATATTTGTAAGAAAATGTATGCAGAAGAGAGAAAATTTTCGGTGTTCGAAAATGAGAGAAGTCTCTCTATTTATAGTCAACAACAAGTGTGAACGCACATGTTAAGACAAGACATGTCTGTTCAAAACGTTTGTGTCTTTTGGGAAAAGAATTGTCTGTTCGAAAGAAAAATGTCCCTTCTGAGCAACTATACTGTTACGAGAAATCAATTTCGTTAATTAATTAATTAACGTTCTAAATTAATTTTAAGAAAAAGGAAACTAATTGATGCGATTGATTAAAAAAATTGCCTAAGAAATTATCAATCAATCAAATTATTTGCCAAAGCCAAAGTCGAAGTTGAAACCGAGCGACGACGACGACTGTAGACTCAGTCGATCGACAATTTTATTTGTAAGAAAATGTATGTAGAAGAGAGAAAAATTTTGGTGTTTGAAAATGAAAGAAGTCTCTCAATTTATAGTCAACAGCAAGTGTGAACGCACCTGTTAAGAAAATACATGTCTGTTCAGAACGTATGTGTCTTTTGGGAAAAGAAGTTTTTCTTCGGAAGAAAAATAGGTTCAAGGAGATCAAACGATGACAGTTCAACATTGTCAAAAATTATTTTATGATATATTCTCATGATGAGACAATGCTCAGTAACCAAGATAAATACATTAGGACTTTTTAATGGTTTCTAAGTTTGATACAGGGTATATCAAATATTGTATCTACGGGATAACACATATAGAAATCACCTATGTAAGTGTGAAGTGTAAGACGCTTCTCTAAGCACTTATTAACCAAGACGTGTTCACGGTTGAAACGAACAAAACAATGAGAACCAAAAATATTTCAATGGTTGATTGTGTGACTTATGTTGTCTATATATACACCAAAGCTCAACAGTTCAAAGATATCAAATCTACCGATTGACTGAGTATGTCTGATATATATTCACTACGAAAAGGTCAAAGGGAAACCTACTTATCCAGATGCAAATAATCCTTACGTACGAGACACACAAGTTTTTCATGCATATGTTTTCACAATAGCCATTCCCCATTCATGTGGGGGTTTATTGAGTTTAAGCAAGGTGTGAATGTGAAATAAGAATGAATGAGAAACTGAGAAATGTGGGGGAACCAATTTGGAAGGAAAATTAAATGTCATTTCTCTCATATTGGAAGAACAAAGGAAAAAGTTTGTCCTTATATTAGGAAACACTTCCTTTAGTTGTTAAAGGGTTAAGTAGAAAGTGCCCCCTCGCGCAGTCATCGTCGCTCGGCTTTGGCAAATGATGTAATTGATTGATAATTTTTAGGCAATTCTTTTAATCAATCTCATCAATTAATTTCATTTTTCTTAAAATTAATTTAGAACATTAATTAATTAATTAACAGAATTGATTTCGTGTAACGGTAAAGTCGCTCAAAGGCAATTTAAGTATAGGTTCAGATGCAATAGCTTCTTTTAAATTCTGAAAAGCTTCTTGACATCTTACTGACCACACATACTTAACATCTTTCTTCAACAAATCAGTCAAAGCCGCTGCCCTTTTCGAATAACCAGCAATGAACTTTCTGTAATAGTTAGCTAACCCAAGAAACGATCTCAAATCCTTCACGCTGCGAGGTGCTTGCCAATCAACAATGGCCTGCGCTTTCTTAGGATCCATCCTAACTTGGTTTTTACTAACAAGATGCCCCAAAAATTTTATCTCTTGTTGAGCAAATTCACACTTTTCCATCTTAACATAAAGCGTATATTTCCTCAATTGAGACAATACCATATTTAAATGATTAAAGTGTTCCTCCAATGTTCGACTATAAATGACAATATCATAAAGATAGACAACTACGAAATCATCAAGATAGTCAAACAACACATTGTTCATCAAGTTGCAAAAGGTAGCCAGAGCATTGGTTAACCCAAACGGCATTACAAGGAATTCATAGGAGCCATATCTAGTTACACAAGTAGTTTTAGGCTCGTCGCCTTCAGCTATTCTTACCTGCCAGTAGCCTGCCCTGAGATCTAGTTTAGTGAACCAACATGCTTTGCTCAACCTGTCCATCAAATCTTGCACCAATGGAACCGGATATTTATTCTTCACAGTTGCCTTGTTTAGAGCTCTGTAATCTACACACATTATCATCGTCCCATCCTGCTTCTTTTGAAATAAAACAGGTGCACCATAGGGAGCCTTAGATGGTTGAATCAGCCCAGCATCCAACAACTCATTCAACTACTTACGTAATTCAGCCAACTCCTTAGGAGCCATACGATAAGGAGCTTGTGCAGGAGCAATAGTGCCTGGCATTAATTCAATCTTGTGATCAATATCCCTCCTTGGCGGCAACTTCTTTGGCAGTTCAGGCGGCATCACATCAGCATATTGTTTCAGTAATTTAGCTACACAATCAGGCACCTCTACCTTGACATCAGGCTTTAATTCGACCAAGGCAGCAAGTATAGTTTCTTTACCTTTCTTCAACCCTTTGTCGATTGACATAGCCGACAACAACATTTCTTTTTCCTTCTTCTTTGCAACTCTGTTGATCTTCCCAAACGGATAAATACCTTTCACAAACCCAACATTGTTCTCATTCATTATCATTATTCCATCTAAGTGTGGAAAAGGAACAAACTGAAATTTTCTTAGGAAATCAACACCAAGTATGATCTCAAAATCTCCTAACGGCATCACCATTAAGTTATGTTTTCCTACCCAATTCTCAGTTGACAAAGACACCCCATAAGCCATGCCCACAATGGCTTGTGCCTTAGCATTAACTTTTTTGACGTAGGAAGGACTTTTAGTCAACTTAAGTCCCAACTTTGCAGCAATATTTACATCAATAAACGTATGAGTAGCCCCTGTATCAGCCATAGCTATCACACATTTTTCTTTAACCTCATTTCTATATGAATCAATGAAGCATGTGGATTTCAAGTCTTAGACGTCCCCTCAACATTATTAACCAACGTAATATGATTGAAAGACAAACCTAACGGATTCACCATAGCAGCCACAACTTCTTCTTCCTCTTCATCCTGATTCATCTTTCCAGCAAGCAAAGTGTTCACCCTTTCCCGGTTTGGACAAGACTTAGCCAAATGAGGACCACCACAAGTCCAACAGCCTTTCAAATTTCCATCTTTATTCTTTGGTCTGTTTTCTTTGTTTCCTTCTTTCATTGATGCCTTCCCTTTGTCATTAGCATAGTCTCTACGATTCTCCCTTTTACCGTCCCCTTTCTTCTCACCTTTTCTCTTAGCTTTTGAAGTAGAAGGAACATCAGTATTAGGTCGAGTTGTCCGGAAATCCACTAACGAATCTACAGCAGCAATTGCCCCTGGCAAATCTTTCACATTTTGCCTTCGAAGTTCGTTTTGAGCCCAACCTTGCATACTCGAAATGAAGTTGTGTAATTTATCCTCATCAGACATGTTTTGTATGTCTAACATCACTGAGGTAAATTCTTTGATGTAATCCTGCACCGAACCAGTTTGCCTCAGTCTTTTCAACTTATCCCTCGCAAGCCATGAAGCGTTGTTAGGAAGAAATTGATCACGCATTTCTTTTATTAACTTGTTCCACATATCAATTCTGGGTCGTCCAGCACTCACATCATCTGCATTCTGAGTCCTCCACCAAAGTTTAGCAGCACCATTTAAATACATCGTGGTGATATTCAACTTGTCCGTCTCAGGCACCCTTGCAGCAGTAAAATACTGTTCCATATCCCAGATGAAGTTTTCCAGTTCTTTAGCACTCCTTGCGCCA